CAAGTCACAGTGCCCCATTGACAGGTCATGGTGCCCTATTGACAGGTCATGGTGCCCTATTGACAAGTCATAGTGCAACCATTGACAAGTCATGGTACTCCATTGACAAGTCACAATGCTCTCTTGACAGCGACCATTGACAAGGGACAGTGTTCACCAAACAAGTCACAGTGCTCCATTGACAAGTCACAGTGCCCCATTGACAGGTCATGGTGCCCTATTGACAAGTCATAGTGCAACCATTGACAAGTCACGGTACTCCATTGACAAGTCACAATGCTCTCTTGACAGCGACCATTGACAAGGGACAGTGTTCACACAAACAAGTCACAGTGCTCCATTGACAAGTCACAGTGCCCCATTGACAGGTCATGGTGCCCTATTGACAAGTCATAGTGCCCTATTGACAAGTCATAGTGCAACCATTGACAAGTCACGGTACTCCATTGACAAGTCACAATGCTCTCTTGACAGCGACCATTGACAAGGGACAGTGTTCACACAAACAAGTCACAGTGCTCCATTGACAAGTCATAGTGCCCCATTGACAGGTCATGGTGCCCTATTGACAAGTCATAGTGCAACCATGACAAGGGACAGTGAAGCCATTAACAAGTCACAGTGCCCCATTGACAAGTCACAGAGCTCCATTGACAAGTTACCGGATAAACCATTGACAAGGGACAGTGTTGTCATTGACAAGCAACAGTGCGCCATTGACATGTGACAGTGTTGTCACAGAGCCACCACTGACAGGGGACAAGGGAGAGGTAAGTTTTTGACACTTCATTAATAATGATTATATATGACCATACAACCAAAATATAATATGACAAAGTGATTGTAAATATCATTTCATGGTAAAAAAGGTTATGTTACTTGAATTCATGTTGTTGACAACTTACATCAGCAAATTCATTGACAAGTCGTAGTGCAATGATTGACAAGTCATTACAGGTCTAGTGACAACTCAGGGTGCAGGTAATGACAACTAAAATGACAGTACAATGTAACATGCCAATTCATAGCCAACTTTCATTTACACCTTCATATACATGAAACTACACCTATTTCACAACCCATCCCAAAAAAAATATAGGGGTTGCATGTCATAATGAAACTAACCAGTGGTGTGTATCCATTTACAAAAAATTTCCTTCACACCCATTTACAAAATATTCTCTTCACATCCATATACAAAAAATAGCTGACTTCAATATGTTCTCAGCTGGGATTTGGGTTCTTGCATGTCTTGGCAGTGTGTCCAGGCTCTTTGCATCTTCCACAATGATAAACCTTCTTATTTTGGAACTGAGATTCTATCCTATTAATCCTTGGCCTTCCTGGAGGCCTTTTGGTTATCGGTGGATGCAAGAATGTTTGGGTCAGCATATGACTCACAGTAGGTGCATCAGGCTGTGGGCAATCATGTGTTGCAATTGGCCTCATGCTATTTGCATATATTTTCTCCTGTGTGGACAATTTGTAACAATCATCTACATAATCATACACACTACGGTGAACTAGTTTGATTGCTGCACAAGCATGTGGACAAGGTATTCCACTCATTTGCCATGCCAAACATGTGCATCTGTGAGAAATCAGATCAACAGCAACATAGATGATGCGTCCCTCACGTATTGTCTGCACCGAAATATGGTCATCACCATAATATGTTGCCTCCATACACGCACCTCTTGCTATTTGTTCCGACAACTTTGATTCAATATTGGGTCCTACACCATTTTTCCAGCTTTTCATCCCCATTTTGCTAGCAACCATCTTCTTGGCCAACTTCTCTTGATGCTCTTGTATCAAAACCGGCAAGGCGTGCTTCCTTTCTTTCAACATCCATGCATTAAAAGACTCAGCAAGATTATTGGTGATGTTATCCCATCTCTTAAAAGGAAATTTACTTTGCGCCCATCTATCCACATCCCCATGAGATTCAACCCATTGTGCCAATTGAGGACAAAACAATCTTAAATTTCCCATTGCAACATTAAACTCATTATCATGCCTTGCATATGCAATTCCATCAAGTAAATTAAGTGCATTCTCCTTGTTATTTTCTGAGGTCCGTCTCACACCTCTATTGATTTTCACATACTGCGCACTATAATTTTCTTTCACATGTCGATAGCAAAAAGCATGTCTATCACCATCAAATACTGTCTTGACAGCACCGATAATAGCATTACTCCGATCTGAGACAATTGTCACTTGTGCTGATCTGGTTATCTCTTTCAGATTCTGTAGATACCAAGTCCATTCATCATTTGTTTCCCCGCTAACAATACCATATGCTAAAGGAAACAACTCATTGTCTGCATCAAATGCACAAGCTGATAATAAAGTTCCTTTGTAAGGACCACTCAAATGACATCCATCTATATAAATAATTGGTCTGCAACCTTCCACAAAGCCTTTAATTGAGCATCCATATGCAATGAATAGCCTCTCAAATCGGTTGCTATCTGAGCCTTCCCATCTTGCAACTGTGTCAGGATCAGTTTCCATGAGTCTCTCACACATCCAAGGGATTACCTTATAAGAATCTTCTACTCGACCATGTAATTCCATTAGTGCTCTCTTCCTAACCCTATATGCTTGAGTATAGTTCAATTGCACTCCATATTCTTTATACAAGTCCTTTCTGATTTCATTAGGACTCTTGTCAACATTGCACCTCAAGTCATCAATCACAATCGAAGCAGCTAAGTTTGACCTTCCTGAGTGAGGTACAATTAAGTTGTCCTGTGCATGATGAATGTGTTCACTTTTGTACGTTCTGATAGTTAAAAACTCAGTATCTTGATGTGCTCCCATTGAATATGCACCCATATACCATGGACAACCATCAACCTTGCACTTCACAATGATCTTTTGCTGATTATTCTTAATGAAAACGTACGAAAACTTCTGGCATAAGCTGTACTTGTATAATGTTTTCCGGAGAGTAGTGGCATTTGGAAATATTTGTCCTTCTCCAATAATCAAATCCTTCCATTTTGTGGAATTCATTTGTGGTGTAGGTGTTGGGATCATTTCAACAGCACAAGGAATTGATTGTGGCTCTCCAATCACATCAAATAAGGTAGGTGGAGACATAGACAATTCATTGACACCTCCAAATGATTGATCAATCCTGCAAAAAATGACAAGTCAGGGTGCATGTATTGACAAGTTGGTAGCAATACAGTAACAACTGACATACTAAGAAATCACAATAACAGTTTTCTTAAACTATACTTACACATCTTGCTCCTCCATTGTATTATCTCTTGTTGCTTCTATGTGGTCCTCATTTTCATTTTCTTCGACATACACATGACCACTTTCTTCATTAAACTTTATCAAATGTTCCACCCCATCATCATCTACCAACTCCACAAAAGTTTTTTTATCAAACACAACAGAGAATTTCAGAAGAAATGAGTTGCTTTCTTTTCCAGCAATTGATGATATAATTTCTTTCAATTCTTCATAACTTGTGCCCTCCTTTACATTGGTTGTTCTTACACTACCTCCCACATATCTCATATTATCTTCTCCATCATTTATAAACTTTCCCCCTATGTGAACAAAGCAAAATAGATGTTTTCCAGACGTAGTCGCCATCAGTAACTGAAACCTGCATCAACCAGCACGCAACTGTCATTGACAACTTAAGGAGCTACATTGACAAGTGTAGCGGCACACATTGACAACAATCGCGGCCTGATTGACAACACAGTCCCATTTCCTGCTAAGGGTTTCTACCCTCACTAACCTTCATCTTTTTCTTCCTTTGCCACTGAACTAGCATCAGAACAGAGGAAAACCACCCAAAAACAACCCAAAAACAGAGCACCCATTATCATTCTACACACCCAACTTAAATCACAACACACACCAACCAAAAACACAGCTTTTCCATTCATTAACATCTGAATCCTAAACCAAAAACAAAAGCTTTGAAATACCATCAGTAACTGAAACTTGCATCAACCAGCACGCAACTGTCATTGACAACTTAAGGAGCTACATTGACAAGTGTAGCGGCACACATTGACAACAATCGCGGCCTGATTGACAACACAGTCCCATTTCGTGCTAAGGGTTTCTACCCTCACTAACCTTCATCTTTTTCTTCCTTTGCCACTGAACTAGCATCAGAACAGAGCAAAACCACCCACAAGCAACTCAAAAACAGAGCACCTATGATTATCCTACACACCCAACTTAAATCACCAACACACACCAACCAAAAACATAGCTTTTCTATTGATTAACTTGTGAATCCCATTTCCAAAACCACCCACAAGCAACCCAAAAACACAAAAACGATTTTTTCATTCCCCATTTCCAAACAAAAGCACAATCTGTCAAGAAAGTAGGAGAGAAGAGGAAAGAAAGTTTCACACCTGAAAGTTTGTGGAGATTCACATGGAAGCTCTTTGGAGCTCACTAATGGTAATAGAGAGGATATTTCATCATCAATGGCTGCTTCCCTCTTTCCCAATGTCTTCTTTCTCAAGCATATTGCGCGGGAAGTCTCACCCAAAATGAAACGCTGCTGCTTCGTTTCTGATGGCTTAGGGCAGGGCAAGAGAGTAATTTACAGATTCTGAAAATTGCATCTAAGTCCCTTTGGGACTTCAGAAAAATTATGACATTTCAGGGGACCTTTTTGCTGTATTTTGGCTTCTGTGGGACCTCAATGTCATTCTCCCTTATATTTTTGGCTCGAACAGTGACATTTGATTTAACATTGATGGCCAAAAACAAAACTTTCCGTAGCTGTTTTGGTAAGAATGAAAGAAATAAAACAAAAACAAAAACAAAAAATGGACGTAAGTTTCTACGCCCACGGGGAATCATTTGAAAAGGACCAGGAGGCGGAGCAAGAATTTCGAGAATATCAAAAGTAGAGGGGCAAATTTGCAAAGACAACTCCTATATAAACCGGAGCTGGGACTGGTCTCTCCTTGTGCTGTTCGATAACGTCCATAGGAGGGGAAGAGAGAAAAGAGATGATTGGGATTGAATGTCTTGTTGTTCCATGAATAGCAGGCCTCGGCATAAATTATTCAAAGACCAAACCCTTACAGACAAAACAGTACTCCTTGCCAACCAAAGTTAATTTTTTTATCTTCATCGTATCAAACAAACAGCTTCTGTCAGTCGCTCTCGTGGATTCAGGACTTCAGAGTTCAGAGCTTCATTTCATTTCTGTCACTCATGAATTCTGCTTCAATGTCTTCAAATGCCTACGCTTTTGATTCTTCTCTTCTCAGACATTCGAGCTCAGACATGGCCTCCTTTGATGAAGGCGGAGACCTTTTCTTCTCTGACCCTCTTCCTTTCCCTTTCTTCAGCCCCACAGACGTCGTTCATCAGATTCCAGACAACGAAACATACCAACAACACAAACTGGACGAATTTTCTTCTTCTCTTGACCCCTTTTCCTCTTCTTTCTTTTCCTTTTCTCCTCCAAGCACCCACCTGGAAAACCTGAGCCTTTATCAGCAGCATCTTTCATCAACTGCAACAAATTTAGGAGCTGAGTTTGGAAATGTCTCTGTGAAGAGTGAAGATTTACAAATGGGTGCTGATTACAACGGCAACCAGAACTTTGTTCCTCCCAGTTACAATGGTTCTGAAAATGCACACAAGTCCATTCAAAGGAGTTACAGCAGCAACTGTTTTGATGGGAAGCCTGGTTTTCTCTTTCAACCCCACTATGATACTCTCATAGATTCCTCAAACTTTCAAGGCCAGACCGTGAATTCTCCTGAAAACGATCAAGTAAGAAGAGTGTGCAGTACAGGAGACTTGCAGGTTAATTTAGTCTCTGATCTTTCTTCTGGATTGCCAACTAGTGCCCGGTTCCTTTATATTCAGTTCCCATAAATATGGTTTTGTTTCTCTATCATCAGAACATGGGCTCTACTCAAACGAACCACAGGGAAGGCTCGTTCTTAGAGGAAGCAAACTTCAAAGTGGGGCGTTACAGTGCCGAAGAAAGAAAAGAGAAAATCTCGAAGTACAGAGCCAAGCGAGGCCAGAGGAACTTCAACAAGACGATTAAGGTAAATTTAAGCACAAAAAATTACAAGGCCAGAGGCCAGAACACCCTTTTATTTACTTCTATATATAAAGTTCTGAATGCGGAGGTTGCTCTGTTTTACTTGGCACCAGTATGCTTGCCGGAAGACACTGGCAGACAATCGGCCACGCATACGTGGCAGATTCGCACGAAACGACGAGACCGGCGAGAATTCCAGGGTTTCATGTTCAACCAGAAACGAAGAAGACGACGAGTATTGGGTAAGCATTAAAAACTGTTGCTTTTCAAGTTTTTATTACAGAACACAGTGTGATTAGCATTTATTATCAGTGGGATTGAAGAAGAAGCAAGTTTTTGATTTAGTTGACGAATGTGGATTGCAGTTCGAAGGGTTGCATGAAGAACAAGAATCGATGACGTTGAGAATGATAGGAGGACAATACTTGAACAGTTTTGGAGATCCTCATTTCCAATACCATAGCTTTTGAGATTGAGATGGGAATTAGAAGCAAAAGCATCATCAATTGGCAGCGTCAGAACAAGAAAAGGCCCCTTGCTCGCTTAGCTAATCCTACTCCAAAAGGCCTTCCACCAGCTCTTTTATTTTACATTTACATTTATTCACACTTATTATTATTGGTGATATGTAGTGTGGGATTTATTTTTTTTTAAATTTCTTGGCATAGATATGTAGTGGGGATGAAGTAGATATGAGTGAGAAAATACAAGAATAAATGAAAAAAGTTAATATTATTCTTGATACTTATAGTTTGATGTAATTTTAGTTTTGATTCTTATAATTTTAAATAATTGGTTTTAGTCTTTATAATTTCATAAAAACCAGGCATAAGATTAAGTATAGGGACCAAGAACAAAACTTGTCAAAAGTATAAAGATTATTCGTTAAATTTAAATCAAATTCTTATCAAAATTATGAGGATCAAAACCAACTATTTAAAACTACAATAATCAAAACCAAAATTCGATCAAATTATAAAGACTAATAATAATAGTAATAAAAAAATAGAGGTTTGGTATTCACTCGCCCCCCCAAGGTTTCACCCTCCTTCATTTACCCTTATTGATTTTTCATATAATTTATGTACATGAATTCAGTATATGATTCTCTCTTAGGGATTTTTCCCCTCAATTATGTAAGTATCAGTACCTTTTGCAATCTTAAGCTGGTGGTATATTTAGTTCATGTGCTTCAAAGCGCAATACTCATTTAAATTTAATAAAGAAGGACTACAAATTAAATTTAAGATTAAGTTAAATATTAAAATAATAAAAATATTAATACCAAATATTCTATCAACAAGTAGATTTTATGATTTTTGTGAGATATATAATAATCTTATTTATTATCAGTTTTCACTGCATCTTATTCTTATCTTTAAAAAAATCATTAGCTCCAAATTCATAAGTGAAGATAGTTTAAATTAGTTTTTTATAAATCTAATTATCAATATATTAATATAAGATTTTGAACGAATTCTATTGTATATTTATGAGTTAAAAATAATACAGTAAATCTTCGCATTCAACAAATTTAAATAATTAAATTATAGAAAATATCTTTGTTATAGCTATACAAAGAATTATACTTGGAGATAAGATTATGATCAATCAAAGTATGTTCGTGAAATGTCCCGGAAAAAAAAAAAGAATGCAATAATATATACAAAAAATGAGAACAAAACAAAAAGGGAAAGAAAGAGCATCGCATGCTGCTTCTAACTTTCACAAACATAATAAACATTACCCTATACGTACGATACATATTAAAATAAAATTATGAGGGCATAGAGCAGATAAGAATCAACGAATATTGGATCATCAGTTTAGAATTCGTTTTTTTTCCCTCCTCTTTAGTTGTGGGGAGCCAGTCTGTCGTTTGTTTTTCCCGTTAAATATATTCTCACCTTTAATCTTTATTCGTGTTGCTATAAAATTATAAATAATGAAGGAATTAATTATAAAAAAAATTATAAATGACCACAACATTTGAACTCAAGAAAATAAAAAAAAATTCCTTGTGATAAATAATTCGAGCTCAAAAGGCTGATTTGTTGATGGATGAGTAATTTTTTAATTTTTATGTTAAAACAACTTGGTCTCATTTGTCGAGATCCAATTGAAGGTTATGTTTTCACTTTTAATTTTTTTTAAAATTGGTTTTATATAATATATGCGTGTAAATTAAGAGATTTCACATATTGATATCAAAAATGGTAAGTAGTCTCAACCCTTAAGTAGGAGGATATAAGTTTGAATCACGAAAACATATTTGGACACAGATTAGTCTCAAACTCAAAATGACCTGAGGATTTATAAAGAAACAAAAGCAAGGTTGATTAAGAAATGTAAGATATATGCAATGATTTGTATTGAACCACAGTTTCCAAGTCCATATAACAAAAATCGAAATGGCTGCCAGAAGCAAAGATATATCAATCAAGGCGGGGAATATGCTCTAGTTTCTTCACTTGCTAGCTTTTAAACTCAGCCAATTTGTCAACTTGGCTCGTCTTCATTACGATCAAATTCATGCTTGCCCGCACAAATTGGTCATATAGAGCTATAACAAAACAAAAATTGGGAAGGAAAAAAAAAAAAAGATGGTTGGCTTTGTTTGTTACTGTTTCTACTTTCCTTTCTGAGACTGTAGGATGCCTAAATTGGGGGGCGCATCAATGTAAACAAGAAAAGATTTTCATTCTGCTTTGATGGCTTCTCAAGTGGCAAATATAATATAATTCTCTCAAAGTAAATTTTCTGGAGTGGGACTTTTCTCCTCCAATCAATCATGAGTCAAAATTCGTGAAATTCCACGCACAGATGCTTCTGAATAACTAGGTTATGACTCCACGCTCTAGTGATGTCAAATCATTAATTCTTGATTAACTCTTAATCATGCGTTAACCCTACTCTTCTTGAGTCTAACCATCACGGTTTTAAATATATTTTCTCTGCTAAGCACGCTGTCAGATGATGAACTCAAGTTAAATTGCCCTTAATTTGCTTGCTGCTGTTGCTGGCTAATTGAATTATTTAAAAACTCTGGAAATGATTATCATCTCGTATTATTTAAGTTCTTTTAAGCAGCATTATCATTAAGAGGAGTGGGCTAATCATGATTAGTTTCGTCCTCAAACCCCAACTTTTCCTATCTTCTTGGTCTGCAACTGAGTAATCTCATCAGATAACATCCATTCAAAGTGGAAGTGTGTGATTCTGACTATAGAAAGTAAAACAGTAGTAAATGGAACTCAAAAAGAGAAGAGAGAAAACTCATAAAAGAGTGTAATAAAGGGATAGGATTATTATTTGTGATTTCCAACTTAGTTACAGTTTCAGCAAAAAGCAACAGAAAAAATGCAGACTTTATGGGTTTCAGAGAGCATAAAGGCGCGAACTGGCTTCTGACTTAAAAAACGTCCAGATTATAATGCTGCGATTAAAGCTACAACTATATTAAATGATCGCATAAAGCAAGATACCATGTGTCAACCTACCATTTTGTCAGCAACAACCCGATCGAATAGCATAATTATATTCATGTCAATATATATACAGTGGGAGGAATGCTCCCACTTTTACTGAAAATTGAAAATCAGATGCCAGTACTGACTCCACAGATTGTCTTCTTCAACACACACACATATATGTACATACATACATATAAACAAGCATATATATATTTCTGATTGAAAGAGATGCTGCTGATTGTAAAGGTTACTGCAAGCTTCCTTTAAAACTTTTTGTGGTATGATATATGTGATAACGTTCTTGTTATTGAAGCTTCGCATCTTTCCTGCACAATTTTGACAATAGGATCGCGTACTTTAAAGGAAAAGATGAAGGTTTCTGAGTCATGGGGAGCCTCAGATAAGAACCAGATTTCCATGCCGAAAACGTATATAGTCCAGATAGTAATTGATTATTGAATAAAGAAATGGAGACTCAAGGACAATGAAATAAAAAAATAATGAGAAGATAATAGTAGTATTGAATAAGGCAGCACGAACAAGAGATGCAAAGACCGAATCTCTTCTACATACAGCACCCCATATTCTCTTTCTGATATCTATCACAGTTAAACAGGAATCAAGTAATTTCCTGTTATGATAAGGAAGTGATAGAGAAGGAAGAGAGAGAGAACGAGAGAGAGAGAGACAATATAATGCAAGTAATGGAAAGAGCAGTAAAGAAAAGAATGCTTATAAAAATTTAATGTAAGCATCTAAAATGATGCCAGAAGCCCACTTTTGACCAACACAACATCGCAACAATTCATATTTTAAAACTACTTCAACGTCCTATCATTGCAATGCTATAGATTACTCAAGTGTTCCCTCAGGCTAGGCTAGGCTTAATTATATATATTCCACAGTAATGATATCTTAAACCAGAAAATAAATGCTCAAGAAAGTTGCCACTGGACCTGTCCTTTTGTTCTGTCCATGGAAAGCCTCCTGATTGGTACATCATGCAGAACAATATTTTGATGAACAATAATCAAACCAGAAAAATCTTGCTTTTATGTGTGTTTAGTGTTTTGCACACGAATGGTGTGGTGGGATCGTCTAGTGGAGAGGCCAAGTATCATAAAATATTTGTCAATCGGGAGACAAGAAAGGAGGTCATGTTATTGAGGGTGGAGCTTTTTGTCTGGGTTAAGACTGGAAAGGGTGAAAACTTGGGTGGAGAATCCATTAATGGTGATTCAACAGTAAAAATCCAAGCTATGGAAATGGTAAAAAAGCGTAAATAGATCACAACTTGCCAATTGTGGCAAGCACAGCATCTTGTTAAGCATGTAGTTAATGGAAACTACTGCTTTCACAAAGTGCTGCCTCATCATGTACTCATTTCTTGTTTTCACTTTTCACCACTTTTCACCCAAGGATTGAATTGCTGCTACCATATCCTACTCCTTCTGTTATCTAGATAACTAATTTGCTAATATTAAGAAGATTAGTTAAATTAGTTATTCATAACAAATATATATTAGTTTTCCTAAAATACTTTTTCTAATCATATATACATTGTAACTGCCTGCTGATTAGAACCTCTTTACTATGTGCAATAGGGATACTTTGAAGAAAAAAATAACAAATTTAGGAAATAAAATAAATTGAGATATTATGTTGAGTATCGAAGTAACTTTTTTGTCTAACTCTTACATTTGGTATGGGAGGTAGCAGTGCATTAGGTGCAACATAACTGTTTTGTCTTGCATGAACTGAGTCACCTGAAATGGTTACAGGCATGTGGCCAGAACAAGGGTTCAACTTCGCTTCGTCCACATGAATGCGGTTTCTGGTTATTATTAGGGTCAAGGGTTCTCTCAAACTGTGAGTTATTCTCTCGCTGAGTGGTTGGACACTTTTTCCACGGCGTGTGATGATAAGAATGCATATTTTTTTGGCTGTCACTTGGACTCCAGAAGCATGCATGATAATAGAATTAATTAAAAGATGAAAGAATAGAAAATGGGTCGGTTTCATTGAACCTAAAGAGCCTGTTTTCCATTGTTACTGATTGTTGTTACAGGAAGTAGCAAATGTAATGAGTGGTTGTGTTGAGTAATAAGGTGCGGTTTGCAAAGACCAATGGCAAACGCCAAAAGGCAAAGAGAATGTCTCGTGGGGGGTCAAATGCTTGGATTTCCGTAGGTCTTC